CAAAGAGCCACATGCGGCTCCAACGCTGTCACTAAAGTAATAACCTGATCATCTCACAGCTTGATTTATTCTCACCTCGTCTGCCTCTGTTTCCTGTGTTACTTTTAAAATTACATGTTTTAATAGTTACACATTATTTCATAAATTAGGCTAAAATGTGTTGCATTTAAAAAAGAAAATTAAAAACAATCCACTGGACTTTGTTTCTAAGTTTGAAGACGTTTTGCTTCCCATCCATGAAGCTTTTTCAATTTCAAAATGTAAGGAATAGCGTTGAGTTCGAGGTTTTGTACAGTAGCCCAACAAAGCCTTGTTTTTATTTTGAAAACATGCAAATTGAAACGGACGAAGGGCTCCACCCCTTTGGAATGGGGCTCAAAGACTATGACCTGGATGACTGGGAATCTTCACCAGCATGTTGCATTTAAACAACGTTTTAATGAGGGTGATGAAGGGAATTATTATAGTTTTGTTTCAACTCCAGGGTTAGAACATGCAATGCTAGAGGAAGCCTGTAAATATGACCTGCTGTGTGTTTTTCTGTAGGACCTTGGGAGCATAGGACCCTCATATGACACCCAGAAACAGACCAGTGGAACTCCAGCAGCTGGAGGGCTCAACGGTAAGACTGAAGAGAACCAAACTGAAGCAACCGTAGCTCAACGTTCATTAAACTGATTGATTTTTAATATGAATTAAGACAAGAAACAGGGATGACTGAAGGGTTTTAGTTTATTTAATTAAACGTCTTTAGTGTTTGTGTTAAGTGAGGTTAGCATAAAATTCATTTTTTCCATTATATGCATGCTGGACAACATTGGAAAGCTTAGATTCTTCTCAATTCAACCACCAAGTTCATTTTATGGACACAGCGAGCACCAATAAATACTGATAGAGCAGCACATCAAAATGTAAACATCACAAAGCAGCCACAGCTATATACCTTTGTAGGCATCCAGAAGCCGTCCTATAAATCCAATCTTCAATTCTTTATACTCCATTCATCCATAAGGGTCTACAGATTAAAAGTAACCGAGTATATTAGTAATAAAAATATTCCATGATGAGAAAATCGTCCATAACGTCCGGTTGTTGACATCAGAAAAGTTAGCTGGTCATAGCTAACTTTCACCTTCTTGCTAATATTTACTTCCTAACTCTTATTTCCTCGGTTTTTAGCCCGTGATGTTTGGTACGGTTCTTTACATCGTCTTCTTACCTACAAGACAAAAGTGTTTGGATATTTTTATGATGCGATTTGAGCCAGATATAGTCCCTGAAATCTGACTTCCCGTCACTTCCTGTCAGCCAGTGAAGCGCAACATTACGTGTCTTAATTCTGCGCTGTTATTGGTTAAGACCACGTGGGCTGTTGGGCTTTGTAACCAGTGAAATAGGGTTTCAAATGAGCTTGCATGTGCCGAGGGTATTTAAAGCGGAACCATGTAAACAGGCTTGCATTAGAGAGATGCAGACGCTGCGGATGGAGCCATGCGCACGGCTTCAAGATGAGTGACACAACTGTCCTATTTTTTTTTAAAAGTTTGGACTAGGGCTGCAACTAATGATTATTTTAAAAATCGATGAATCGGCCGATTATTTTTTCGATTAATCGATGAATCGGA